TGATGTGTTCATGCGTGCACATCTGCTCACAGACTCATGTTCATGTTTGTGCTGATGTTCAATGTTTTATGTTATGAGTGCTTAGTGTATATTTAGTTGATGTTTTTCTTAGTTCATATCTTAGATGTTATTACTGTTTTTCTTATACATTTTATTGTTGGATGTAACTGGGACCCTGTGTACATAATTTCGCTCCACCACATGTACCACATGAGGTGCGAATGACAATAAAGAAACTCTGACTCTGACTCTGAAATATTTCAGTTGGTGTGCAATGAATCTGAAATATATGAAAGTTTCATTTTTATCATTACATTATGGAAAATAATGACCTTTATCACAATGTGCTAATTTTTTGAGAAGGACCTGTATGTAGATCAATAAATTATATGAAGTTAACCAAAGAGTTCAACTTTTTACAAAGTCACAATTTGTCTTCCGTAAACTGCATTGAAGCCCCAGAAGTGATGGGTCAGATCTTTTAAAAGATAGGTAGGAAAGCAATGAATAAACAATATCTTACCTGTTGCAGATAGCTTGGGGGGTGGGGGGGACCATCTCAGTTTGGTGATATAAAGTTCTGACTGGACTGCTGAGTTAATGGCTAGTCTGAGCTGAGCCAAGTCCAACGTGGTTTACTGGTGTCTCAAAACCACTTAAAACAATTATTTTAAAAGAATTCTAAAATTCTTCAAGCAATTTTTTTGTTTATATAAATTTTTACATCATCACTTTTGCATATCACTGTTATTGCATCTAGCTGCTGCACTGTAATGTGAAATAGAAACAGCATAAAATGTTTTAAAGGAGTGTTTGCATCAATCAGTATAAATTTTTGAGATTTAAGTTTTAAAATATATTTTTATTGTCTTGACCTTTCTGAGTCTATCTGTTAACTCGTCAATTCAGTCAGTATTAAAATCTTTGAGGTGTTCAAAGAATTATCTATAGCAGGTAAGATATTAGCTGTTTATAATCTTTTCACAAAACCCCACTTTAAAAGAGCTGAACGACTCCTTTAATGGAGTGAAAATGTGAGTTACTCGGTTGTCAAAGGCAGCAAGCTTGAAATGAAACCACGTTTTCCTCTCAGTTTGAAACATTTGATGTTTGACTCTAATAGTCTGCGTGTGGTTCTGGTGTCAGGGTGTGGTGACGGACCCGTCTCCACAGACAACTGCCCCCTCGTCGCAGGACGCTGGCGGGCAACGGTCTTCGTCAGTGAGTGAGAGTTCAGCAGATCACGCCACAGCCTACTCCTTCCAGCAAACCAAGTGAGTGGATCAAACCTCAAGATAAAAACAACACATCAGAATAATCATGAGTTAACAAATGGTACCTCAGTGTACCCCATCGCTGAGGGGTGTGAATAGTGAATGTTTGTAGTTTTTGACATGAGTGTTTTTCTGGACTGGAATCAAATAGAGAATGTAAGTAAACTTTTTTTTTTGCGGGGGTGGGGTGGGGGGGGGGGGGGATAGATGGATGTTTTATTCACTCAACCTTTTTTTTTTTTATTGAGCCTTTGCAGGAAATACAGGGTCACAGCAGCAGTTATTAGGATATTAATAATATATTTAATATATAATGTAAAATATATTGTAGGATATTCAAGCGGGTAGGAGTTATACTGTGTAGAAGAACAGAACCTCACTTATTTTCCAAGTTATTCAACTTACAAGACAGATGGACAGTAACTCTGTCGGAAAACTTGAAAAATAAGTGAGGTGACTTCCATTTTGATTTGTGGCTACATCTTGGAATAAGAAAGATCACTATCAAAAATTGGATTGCCAGTTTAAAATCCAAGATGGCCACCACAGTATATATAAATATATTTGCAAACTGACCACCCCAATCATTTGAAGAAACCGTCCGTCCGTCCGTCCATCCATCCATCCATCCATCCATCCATCCATTCATCCATCTATCCATCTAAACCTGTACCCCCTTCTTCCTTTTTGGGTCACGGAGGTCACTGGCACCCATGTCCAACAGTCACTGTGTGAGAGGCGGGGGACACCCTGGACAGGTCTCCAGTCCATCACAGGGACACATAGAAGCAAACGAGACAAACAACCATTCACTTTCTCACTCACACCTAGAGACAATTTAGAGTTACCAACCAGTCTAACATGCATGTTTTTGGTCTGTGGGAGGAAACTGGAGTACCCGGCGAAAACCCACGCATGCACGGAGAGAACATGAAAGGCCCCTGACTGGGATTTGAACCAGTGACTTTTTTGAGAGGAGGTAGCTCTAACAACTGCACCACCATTTCCATTTGTTATATTAATATTATTATATTATATTGGAATATTACAATATAATATATTAAAGTTAATATATATTATAATCATATTATTTTCTTTTTTTCATGTATAGTTTCTACAAATGATTGGGGTGGCCAAAGAGTAATGCATGGTGGCCAAGGCCACCATTGGCCACCCTCTGGCTCCACCATTGCACCTATTAGGATAAAATTGCTCCCTCCACTCACTAGTATCTGTCACTCTGCACTGCCTTGAACAGGCAAAAATAAATAAATAACACCTACCTCTGTTCTTCTCCACAATGTAACTCCTCCCCATTTGAATTTCTAGCAGTAAAACATTAAGGTTTACTTTCATTCTCTGTTCAATTCTAGTCCAGAAAAACACTCGTCTCCAAAACTATAACATTCACTGTTCAAATCCCACAGCACCTATGACATCAGTTTAATGCTTGATGTTTTAGTGCACTTTAAATGGCTGCGGCGGCCATCTTGAATTGAATTGGCTCCAAAAGTTAATCAGCTGTAGACGTACATCCAGTGATTATTTGCACTTATTAAAATACATCCATTGGGTGTTTATTTTAGCTGCTTTATTCATATTTTGACTCGTTTAGTTTGTGTTTGATAACCTGCTCCTGTTTTTTCGGTAACCTTTCTGCATTTCTGTCTCCTCTAAGGTGACAAGACTGCTGGAAAGCATCGCTGCATTGCCTTTAGGACAGCATGAAGCTGCTGGAGAGACGGAGAGAATCAGAACAACAAAAGACCAAAACACAAAGTGATCCGGACCTCGCTGAGCAGACAACGCTTCCACTGTGCGCAGAACCAAACGAAAGACAGAACCGAAGAGGAAAATCAATTCTTCTCCTTACCTGGTGGAATCAAGAAAAACAAATTGTTTGCTGACCTAAAGGAGGACAAAATCAATCACAGTCCAAGACTTTGATTTGATCATTTTTCACCTTCAGACTGGATTTTCCTCTAATGGAAACAAAAAAGACAAATCAAAACTCACTGTACAAAAAAAAAAAAATCATTTGAATGTGCAGGTAGATTTTCTGACTTTTTTATGAATAAAAAAAGAAGGAAGGAGAAACAGGCTGTCTTCCTTAGAATTTAAGCTCTAGAATCTGAAATCTTTTATCCTTTGAGTAGTATTTTATGTTAGTTTTTTTTTTTTTTAGAATATAAATGTTTTCTGAACTTCTTATGGCCTTAATTTTCACCAACTTTGGGGAAGAAAACGTTTCCAAAACGTTGAACTCTTAAAAAGAGACTAATTGGATGATCTGAGAGCCTCAGAGATACAAACTTATCTGTACAGGATTTCAACAGGTTGTATTGGAATGAAGAGGATTTTTGACTCAGTGGGTGCAAACGACAAAAAAAAAAAAAAAACTCTTTAACTTGACTCCACAGAGTTATGAATTACTGTAGGATAAAATATTTGTTTCTCCACCCATGTTACATTATTACGTTATTTCATGGCCCACTTTCAAAAAGGTTTTTATTTGTGTGTTTGCTTCGCTTGACTCACTGCATAAAAAAGAACTTTGTGAAAAACCAAAAAAAAAAAAAAAAGTTAGGATTTTTAAATGTGCAAAAAGCAATAGTTTTAGTAAACTGTTGACAGTTTTTTGAGTCTTTCTTAACTGTTGAACAGCCTACAGGCGGCCGATTTTATACCAAAGATGAAGTTGTTGTTTAGAACCGAAATCTTCCTTCTTAGTTTTTGTTCCACCTTGAAGGCGGTTGGTTTGTGAGATGGCTACAGTAACACGCAGCGGGTCTTTAAATCAATTACCATATTTTTAAAAGACATGAGGCATTCAAAGGTAACGTTCATGGAAAAACCCTGTTCCTCTGTAAAACTCATCTCCATGTGAGCAATGGTTGAACGCAGCGACTGTTTTCTATAATTCACCACCTGACAAAAAAAATTAATCATCCAGGCAGAGTGGTGCTGCAATAATTACTACATCAGATGGAATGAGGACCAGAGTTGGCAGTATGGGTGCACCCATCGGGTCAGTAGGTGCAGGATGGAGCTGTTTCCTCTTCTTTGAGTTGGCTCACAGCTGATCCAGATGAGGTCTGAGCTGATCCCACACATGTGGGAGAACCTCAGCATGATGCAGGCAGGCTGTAGACAGAACATCACTGATGCCATCAGGATTCCCCAAAGAACCACCAGAGGTGAACTTAGCTCATTGGCAATGTTGTATGTCTACACAACATGGACACCACAGGTGGTCTTCCTTTATTGCTGCCACGCATGACGGTCGTTCATGGTAACACAGAACTCACACTCCACCCGGAGCCAAACAGTCGGCTCTCAATGACGTAGTTGCGTGACAAGTATCGAGTCATTTCGTTCTCAGAGTAACTTTGTCTGCTCCTTCTGGATACAAGGCCAAACTTTTTGTTGCAAGCGTGTGAGCAAAGTGTTGTGTGATTGGTCAGAAGTTTGTGGGCACGTTGGATCAAGCGGAAAAGCACTCGGATGGCAATGTCGTTGTTTTGCTTCAACGTCTCTGCTTCCAGAACAATGTGAGCAACGTGGACAGCGTTGACAAGAAGTTGGCCGAGGCAGTTGGAAAAGTGTGGCGCTCTCTTTGTCACCGATTTGTGGCCAAACGGAGGGCACGAGGACAAACTGGACCTGGAGAGAAGAAACATGTGACGCGACATGTACTGGAGGGGGAGGGGCTTCCCAGAGCTCTGCACCATGTGTCTGGTGGACTACGAAAGATGTGAGCGAAAACTATAACGTCGAGCCGACTGTTTGGATTTGGATGTAGTATGAAAGAACCTTAAGATTTATTACTAAAATACAGTGCCACCGTTAATCAGCTCAATCCTTGAGGTTGGAGCGCCATTCTGGACACAGCTGATAGTAATGGAAGCCCACCTACGAGACAGAGAACCTGTAGTCATTGTGATGTGATTCAGCATGACACCGGTGTTGTAAAGAGTCCAGTACCTGTATCTGGATGGCAGGTGCAGATCTTCAATACCACGATCCTCTCCAGATGTATTCTGTTCGGGTCAACCAGAACCTTCACAACAAGTGGTCTGTTGGTTCCCACATCTGGCCCCTGGGACATCTGACTGGCCCACATGTTGGGTAATTGCCCCATACGACAACCTGGCCTCATATAAACACTCAATGGGAACCCAAACAAGTTTCACTGGATTTTGATAGTGTTGTCTAATGAGTCTAGAACAGGGGTGTCCAAAGTGCGGCCTTAGGGCCCTTTGTGGTCCTTTGATTGATTTTGTGCGGCTCACAACTGCAACTTCAGTATTATTTAATTTTAGCTTGCAGGCTTAAAATGTTGATGCAGATGTAGACCTTCTGCAAAGTTAGTGGTGTTATTATTATTGATTAATATTTATTTTTAGCTTTAACAGCAAAACAGATGAAAACATACAAAACTTTTGATATAATTAATCCCTTTTTTAACTCTTATTTCATGGCACAAAGCATCACAAACCTTTTCTGATTTCTTCCAAAAGATAATCATTCATAAACTTGGCTAAATAGTGTTTCCAAATAAAATAATTGCAGTTGATGTCATAATTGATGGAGGCATGTTGGACATTTTTAAAGGAATATGAAGTGGTATCGTCTACATACAAGTTGATTAACTTAATCAGTTTTCCTTCAAACCTATGAATCTGTTTTAGCGACAGACAGCTGTACAAATTTTCATAACGTTGATCACCTTTTGGGTCTTTTCATTCAACCTTTATTTATACAGGTTAATCCCATTGAGCCTCGGGTTCTCATTTACAAGAGAGACCTGGTCTTCCATTCTCCAAATGGCTGATCCCTGTTAAAAGAACAATTATTCATAGATACATCTGTTTCTGAAAATAAACTACAATTAACTTTTTACGCACAAGAAAATAAATCACAATCAACCCCAAAAAAACCAAATACAGTAAATCCTTTTATTAAAGAATAAATAAATAAAATAAAATAAGGCTGATGTTTGTGAAGCCTTTAATGTTTGGGATGTACAATTTAAAGCAGTTTCTCCACCAGTAAACTTAAAAAAAATAACTTAGTAAAACTTAGTAAACTTTTGCCCTTTCACCAAAATATTGTTCACTTTGTTGAAAGTTTAACAATGTAAAAACAAAGTTATTATTATTATTATTATTATATTTTATTATTATCTTAAATTCATATTTTTGTGACCCGTGAGTTCTCTCATCTTGACAGTTTTGCCCCCATAATAAAAGGTTTGGACACCCCTGCTCTAGAACATGTCCTCAGGTTGTTGGATGCTTGGGCAACTACCTGATAACACCATTGCTCCCCTCTTACAGCAGGTTTTCTGGTGCTGGTTTTAAACACAGCACCTCTTCTCAAATCATATAATTTACACATTCACAGCTGGTCCAAATGTGGCCCACACTGTGACCAAATCCAACCATTTCGTCTGGGTGCTTTTTTTTGTCATCGAGTGTATTTTTATATTTATTTGCTAAAATGTGTTAAACCTACTCCAGATTAAACAAGCTGGTTTCTGTCAGCGTGTTGCCAAACAGAGGTTTCTGTAAGAACAGATAATGTCAGAAAATATATACAAGGCATTTTTGCAGAATTAAATTATTTTAGATTAGGTTTTCTCTCCTAAAAAGGGCAACTTTTGTGCTTATTATTGTGTCTTTTTAAAAATGTTAATTGTAATGTTTATGCTGCTAAACACTTCTCAGTATTGAGGATCCAGATTGTCTTTTTTTGGGTAAATGTGGAAGAATTGCACCACCTGAATAACAGGAACTGACTGTTTTAGGCCCAAATCAAGATTTTATAAAGGATCCTAAATAGTTTTTCTGAATAAAAATGCTTCAGATGAGAAAAATAACAAACAAACAAACTGTGTGGCCCTCACACCCTGGATGAGTGTCCTAGATAACCTTCCAACAGAAGGAGAAAAGATGGTTCAACCAAAACAAGACAGCTACAAACCTCTCCTGGAGGAGAGAGTGCAAGAAAAGTGAAATCAAAAGTAAAATTTATGAGGTGTTCTTTGGTTGTTCAGGTTTGTAAAAGAAGATGCAACAGAAAAATTACTTTATTGATGCTTTTTTCATTATTATTTGCTCCGTCACATGCTTCCCGTGGTGTTCCAGTTGTGGTTGTGAGAGTGTCTGTAGAAGCAGTGGGTGTTGCTGTAAATTCACATGTGTCTTTCTGTTCGTTTTCTGTTTTCTTTTTAGACAAAACTTCCAATAAAAAAAATAAAAAATAACGGCCAGAACTCGTTTCACCTTGTATTTACAATATATGACCACCAAAGGGAGCCATAGTTAGGTTTTGCTTTTTGAATAGGCAAGGATAAAATTTAGTTAACACAGATAAAATCCAAGTATTTCAATTGAAATGGGAATATTTGTACATTAACATTTAACTATTTGTGATAAAACAGTTCTAAATTAGGGCTCATGTAAATAATACATTAACAAAACATAAAGAGGCCTCAAGAAAACTGATTAATGAAGACACAGATCAATAACCACAACTGATGATGTTAGACATAAGTTTATTATGCACTAGAATAATAAAGGCATTACTAAAACAGTGTGGATCTAATGAGAGCCATGCGTTATGTTCTCCAGCACAAAGATAATATCAATAACTTGTTCAATGGGATGTTTTCAGACACAAAATAACATTTGTTTTCTTGATTTAAACGTTTTGAGAAAATCCCACTCCTTTTGGACTGCATGAAAAGTTTAGGAATGTTTAGTCATTTCTTTGCAGAAATTAATACTCTCCAACACTGTGATGACAGCTCAGATACAATATAATGATAAGAATAATACTTGATACTTGCTAAATTCTTGTACAGACGGCAGCTGGATTATATTTCTCGGCTCTGCAAGACATTTAACTTTAATCCAAATGTTGTTGTTTTTTAATGATAAGGTTTGAACCTTGAGTTTTTGAGAGTCAAAAAGTTTCAATCAGAGCTGAAGATGGCTTTTAAATGAAACATGGAACACCTTCAAGAAACAATAAGATTTGGTTGCTTCTTAAAAATGGCACAGTATACACCTAACGGGTTACAGGGCGGCCTTCACAGAACCAGAGGGTCCAACTGAGCACCAACTGGGTTTAAACACTGCAGTAAAGCTGTAGTCTTAAATCAAGTACCTGGTAGATATATTCATTGCAGTTACAGATTATACAGGAATGAATATGATTAATGGGAGTTAGTATAGTTTGCTCTTTGCCAACAGTTCCAGCTCAGCCCACATGTGAACACACTCACAAATCTCTTTTTGAGATTCTTTCACTTTGACATTTTGCTACAAGACGAAACAGGTTGACGTGTTGTTGTTTTTTTGTTTTTTTTTGGGGTGGGGGGCGGGTGTCATCATATAACTATTGTGTGCATTTTGTGGACAAAGTCAAATAAGTCTACTAAATCATCTTCTAAAACAAATGTTTCCCTGAGATGTAAATCAAACCACAATACCTTTCTTAAATTGCTCTTTACTATCTGAAATCTGCAGAAGACTCTAAGATTCAACTACATTACAGAGCCTACGTGATGTCAGTGTCCAGAGTTTATACCATCATGATGGACAGCAACATACCAGGTGTTGCATACATCCATGTACAGCTAGCATCAAAATTATGAGTGGATATTATTCTGAAGCAAAGACCAGGACGAGCCCATTTCACCACACTACATAGTCCTGAGGTTTGAGCCCAGACTGTGCCTCAAACAGAACTTCCCAATGAGTCTCATCAAACCTTATCACAGGACATCAGTACCCAGGGGCACAAAGGGACACACAGGGTAAATGGTAAATGGACTGTACTTATATATCACCTTTGTATCTTTTCAAGACACTCAAAGTGCTTTACACTACAATCTGTGCCCTCATTTACCCATTCATACAGTACTCTACTAGATCTCTACAAAGACTAATCAGTGCTTGTTTAGATCACATTCATACACCGATGGGACACACATCAGAGGCAATGAGGCGTTCAGTGTCTTACACTTCAGCATGTGACTGCTGGTGGAATCAAACCCCCAACTTTCACATTAGAGGACAACTGCTCTAACCACTCAGCCACAGCTGCCCCCAAAAGGGACAGGGAGACACAGGGACACACAGGGACATGTCTAGTGAGTAGTCCAAACTAGAGTGGGATTCAGAGTACATCAAAAATTAGTGGTGTGGGATATTGCCAGATTTGGTATCAATCTGATACAAAATAAGTAAGGAATAGTATCACTGATATCAATACCAATACTTCAATAATCAAAGCGGATGCATCATCATATTATAAATCTAAATGAAGTTTGACAGTCTTTAAGTTTTTTAATAGGTTCTTAATTAAAATCCAGGACAGACTCTGGACAACGTTTAAGGGTAAAAAGTCAATACTTTAATAGTTTTCATTACATCATTTTTGGGTTGAAAATATAACAACATCTTCCTATCTGCCAGTTCTTAGCCTCACTGAGCCAGACCTCAATGATGGTTCAGTATCAAAGTGCAGAAGGGGGAGGAGGAGCGGCAACGGGATGTGTACACAGTCAGCCTGAAGACTGCAACAGCTTATACTGAAAAACTGAGACTAAAACAGCTATACTTTTATAATAATATTAATAATAATTTTATTTAAAAAGCGCCTTTCAGGACACCCAAGGACACTTTACAGTAAGAAACATATCAGAAAGATTGTGTAAAAACAAACAACAAGCACAGTGCAAAGATCAACAGGAATAAATTGAAATATAAAATACATAAAGAATATAAAATACATAAAGAATATGAAATACATACAGCAAAGTTAAGGATAAGCGAGTCTAAAGAGATGTGTTTTCAGAGCAGTCTTGAATATAGAAAGAGAGGTGGTGTTTCTTAAGTCAGGGGGTAGAGAGTTCCAGAGATGAGGAGCAGAGCAGGTGAAGGCCCTGCTCCCCATGGTGGAGAGGCGGGAAGAGAGTACATGGAGGTGTAGCGAAGAGGAAGATCTGAGAGAGTGAGAGGGGATGGAGATGTGTAGGAGGTCAGATAGGTAAGGAGGGGCAAAGTTGTGGATAGCTTGGAAAGTGAGAAGAAGACTTTTGAAGATGATGCATGATTTAACCGGGAGCCAGTGGAGCTGCTGCAGGACAGGAGTGATGTGGTTATAAGAGGAGGTTTGAGTGATGACACGGGCGGCTGAGTTCTGGGCCATCTGTAGCTTCTGAAGAGATTTGTTGAGGAGGCCATAAAGAAGGGAGTTGCAGTAGTCAATCTGAGAAGTCACAAGACTTTGCACAAGGATGGCTGTGGAGCGGGGTGTGAGAGAAGGGCAGAGACGGTTAATATTTTGGAGATGGAAATAGGCAGACCGAGTAACATTGTTGATGTGTGAAGTGAAGGAGAGAGTGGTGTTGAGGATGACACCAAGAATCTTGACCTGAGGCGAGGGGGATAGCAGAGAGTTGTTAAGGGGGATGAGAAGATGTTCTGATTTTCAAATAGAGTTTGTGGTACCGACAAGAATGATTTCTGTTTTGTTACTGGTTAGTTGTAGGAAATAGTTAGAAAACCAATGATTTAGCTCATTGAGACAGTTGATGAGGATGGAGGGTGGGTGGGTGGAATTGGGTTTTGTTGATAAGTAGAGCTGTGTGTCTTCAGCATAACAGTGGAAATGGACACCAAATTTGCAGAAGATGTGACCTAGAGGAAGGAGGTATATGATGAAGAGGAGAGGTCCGAGGACAGAGCCTTGGGGGACACCCATGGAGACAGGGGAAGACTGGGAACGAAAGGATTTAAGCTGAATGAATTGAGTGCGGTCAGAGAGATAAGATTTGAACCAGTCTAACGGAGTACCTGAGATGCCAATGGAGGTTAGTCTTTTCCACCTTTTCCGCCAATATCACTCAGTATCAATACAAGAGTATCGATAATCTCGATAGTCAGATTGATCCACCCACCACTATCAAAAATGTAATCCAATACTTAGCTAATATGGACTAAGAAACAAGTCACACAGAAGAAAGGAGGGTGTGGCCCACATCAGAGTTCTCAGGTGGGGCAACCTACTTGGGACCAAAAAGTTGCATGTTCGATTCCTCACAGCTCTTACATAGCTGCCTGCTGCTCTGCTGGATTGCATCTCGTGTGTTGGGTTAAATTCAGAGCACAAATTTCACACATAGCCCTTTCATTTGCAGGTGATAGACTGAAGGGCATGTCCAAAACCTTTTCACTACAGAATTGTTGCTAAAATCAAGCCTGTCTTCTTCACGGCCCAACAGTGTCAGTCTAAAGACCTCAGGAAACCATTCAATCAGTGATGTGGCATACCTCTCTGGTGTTTATTCTGGGCTGTTTTTCTGGTGTTGTTGTTTTTTTTTCAAACAATAAAATGGCGGTTTGTTTTGTCCGCTGTGTTCAGCCTATTGTCAAGTCAACTACTTTGACAACTTCAGGAGTGAATTTTCCACTTTGAGTCGTACTTTGTCACAATAAACTAAGAAAGAAAGCTTGCCATACAAGATGAAGGGTAAACACTGACGCTCTGACAAAAGCTGCACAGGCTCTGCAGGTGCAAATTTTTTAAACAAGTGACTTTTAAATGAAAGTCTGAAAGTCACAAGAACAGATTTTGGAGAGTTTATGCTTTTTGCTGTAAATTAGGGGATAGACTTTGCTGAGCAAGTGTTAACTCATGCTGAGAAGCTGAGAATTAAATTTCAGCCATATTTCTAATGACAGTAATTCCTCAGTGGATTAGGTGGAAAAAGAAAAACATAATCTCAATCAGTAACTGAACACACGCCTCAGCACATGCTACTGCATTACATTCCTACAACAGACGAAATGCCTCTCAGGCAGGGTTCTTTGATGTTCCCTCAGTAGCACATGCGAACGAGGATGATAAACACTAGAACAGCAGTCACGATGATTAACGCTGAAAATAAAAAGATGAGGCCAGCAAAGACGGCGTTTGTCAGTGGGGGGATTTCCTTCACTTCAGACGGGATCATGTTGGACAAACTCAGCATGTAGCCCAAACTCCAGCCTATGTGGGTACCCTTTATCTGTAAGGGAGAACAGAGGGTTACTGTACACCCTTTGTTTATTTCCTGCATGCTGTCAGTACATCATTACATCATTCTGCATAAAGAACATTTTGCAATGATCTTAGTCAGTAGTTGCTCTAGGGCAAAAGATGAGTCATGACATGCAAAGAGTTTTGTCATTGTCTCTAAAATGATCTACCAACCGTCATAAAGAGCTCTGACCAGAGCACACTCACTTACTTGTTCACATTAAGCACTGTAAGTTTTCCAGCAACAGATCTGCCTCAAACAGTTTAAGAGCAATTAGGAAATTGGAGCTATGATATTTGACATTTTTCAGCTTACAACGTTGCCTCCAGGGCTCTTTTTAAAACCCACTGCCACTGTTTTTTGTCTCGTGAATGAAAGATGGGGTGAAGAAGAAAAGAAGACCCCTTTTTTGAGGAAATGTCTTTGTGGAAATTAACATTTTATACGTTCCACTCAAGTTTAGAGGTAACGATTAGAGTGATCTGGCTGAGTCATCAGTGAGTGGCCTCGTTTACTGTCATGTCTGTTATGAAAGCTGATAAATGCCTGTCTGTAAAAGCTCGGCTACAAAGAAATGGTTCAGTAGCACAATTTGACAGTTGTGTTCTTTCTCTTTTTGTCCCCCATCCCAGGGTGAAGAGGAGGAATTGGAAACACCCTCTGTCCATATCCATGCATGTTGCAAGCATGATAACTGGAAAAATAATTGATTTATTTGCTTCCATTTGGGTGTGTGGCTCCATCTAGGTGTAAAAAAGGCCACTATAAAAAATTGGGTTGCCACGTCAAAATCCAAGATGGCTGCTGCCATATATATCTATGTCAACTGCCTCAATTCCTTGAGGAATCTGCTTTCTAGTTTAATATTGCTTAAAAGCATAGTTTCCTCAAATGATTGGGGTGGCTCAATATTAACCTATGATGACCAAGGCCACCAATGGCCACCCTCTGTCTCCTCCATTGCACATCATCGTGGATAAAATTGCTCCCACCCACTTTCCAGGGTCTGTCACTCTGCCCTGCCTCAGACAAGCAAAAAACAAAAAGACCTAAAAAATATCTCTCAGCAATGGGGGACATTGGCGTACTGCTTGTTTGTAACACTTTTATTGTAATGCAGTAATGAAATTCATGCAACTGTAAGATCACAGCAAGGGCACCATAGAATGACGTTTTTAATGCAAGACATGTTTTATGCTTAATTTAGTTTGTGCTATTTAACTCACTGATTTTTCAAAATGAATATTTTTCCAGGTCTCCTTGTCAAACTTGTACCCATCTGCCAGGAGAGTGAGGGCATACTGAGTGCTGTAACAGTATGTCCGGAGGTGTTTGTCCTTGATCCATGGCTTCTGCTCTTTTAGCTTGAAAAAAAAAGAGAAACACAGTTCTGACAGTGATGAAAATGAATCAACTGAACTAAAACTAAACTACAACTGAACTGAACAAAAGAAAAACATATCAAGCCGTAGGCTATTGTGAGATTTCCATGGAAATGCTAGTGCTCAGAATGTGTTGGCTATGCTACCATATAGTCAGCTACTACCACACCAAATGCTCAGTGTAAGTTAAATTGTACACATTATTACCATTTTTGTGTTACCTAAGAATTGCAAAGAATTGTGACAGCCATCTTGAATATTAATGATTCCAAAAGTTGTAGATGTACGTTCAATGATCAGTTTCTGAAAGTTTAATTAAAACCAATTTACTGGTTCATGAAATATTTTGCTAACAGTCAAACAGGGTTGACTCCGTTAGTCAACAAAGTTTTAAACAAAAACTGTGCATAAGTTGCTCCAAGTATGTGATGAGGTTGACTTTTAGCTGCAATTTAACCAAATTTTTGTCATTATTTTGCCTCCTAAGGTCAATGTGATTGCAATCTTAAATATGGTTGACTCTAGAAAGTAATGTAATATTTGAAATGTATTCAGAAGTTTTCAGTAGTTTTCGGACTATATTACAGTAAAGCTTGAAATGGCCATCACAAGTATGAGAGAAGGGGATTTACTTAATGTGGCTGTTATGAAATGACAATAAATCATTAGGAAATGAGGTTGTTGTTGTTTTTATTTCAAACTGTGTCTATGTTTCTAACAAATAAAATGTTAAACCATAGCCTGAATAATATTGTTATTTTATCTTTTCACAGTACTGAGTACAGGAAACAGGTCACTGATAACCAGAGCAACTTCAACCACTATGGCGTTTTAGTAACAAAATTAAAGCAACTTTTTGAGCAACTCTAGTGTTGATAGGTAAATAAAACACTCTCTACTTTCATGTTCTGCTATTCAGATTGCTATAACGTAAAAATTAATGAATGACCACTTATGGGTCTTTGTTTCACCTTTAAACTGCAAATTTTCTGTCAATCTGTAGCAGCTAGGTGTGAAGCTAGCTTGTAGATTTACTTTCAGTTTACATTTACATATTTATATTTCTCCTTTCTTTGAAAAATATCATGGCCAACAAAGTTTTTGTTGACATCACTGTCTACATAAAAATCTGATATGTTTGGCTGCTGCTGGTAGTATTTGTCACTAACACTGAAGTGTCATCGGCATATAAAATAACCAGACACAGGACTTGAACATGGAAGCTGAAGCTATAAAGGACGAGCGCCCCATACTTCTGGATGTAAGACAAATTTTAGATTCTACCCCTCCATGTAAACAAATGTGACATTTTCATGACTTAAAATAAAGATACCCTTCAGATTATTTTGCTGATCTATGTAGATCTTACCTTCTGTGTTCAAAGAGACATTTTCTAAATGTTGTTAGTTTCAAATATTTATCTAAGGCTTAAGAAAAACTCCTTCCCACACCAAAGCATATGTGTAATTCTACTTTAGAAATTTTTAAATTCTACTTGGTACAATTGATTTAGATGCTTTATGTGATTTTGGAGAACCCACCACTGTCCAATGTGTGTTGCAGAAGTTTTCAACTGAGGCATTGAACTGATCCAGATCTGATGTGCCATTTAAAAGCAGAGCACTGGCAAGATAAAAGAATCCAGCATACGCCTGGTAGGAACATTAGAAAAACAGTATCAGTGCGTTTATATTTTCACCTACTTCCTTCGACCAATTACGTCTGCAATAAATGTTACCTTGAAGTCTCCGGTGACAGGTGGCTGTTCAACTCCGTCGAAGGAACACTGTGATGAAGAGCAAGTTTTGAAATCAAATATGGACTTTACAATTTCTCCACATTTCCTCGAGTCTGGATCCCCAACCATAAACAGATTTTGGTTTGGGCTATAGTTTTTGGGTTTATTGGTGCACTCCGAGTCGTAAATTTCCGACGCAACCATGGTGGTGTTGTATCCTTTAGGGTAGCAGGGGTTTCTGATGGGGTACTGGTTAGAAGATCCCTGAAACATTAAACCAAACTTTAAATTAATATTCCAAACCTTAAACCAACAGAAACTTTACCCGTTTTTCATTCTTACAACAAATAGTTTTTGCATGACCATGCATTCATAAATAAAAGTGCAAGTTACCAGAAATATTGCATTTCTCTCAGGCTAATGTGATGACGTTGATGGTTCAGTCAATATTCTTAATGACCTAATGCATTTCTGACTGGTCTCTTTTTGCCTGTTTGGACGAGCAGTCCTCACTAATGAATTCTTAACAGCGCATTAATGGATTTTGGCTTTCACATGAAAGTTTGCTCTTTTCTTGACTGATTTCAGGAAGCTCTTTAGGTATAAATTCATTTATTTCACTTTAGTCTTGTTATTGTGTTTACAGTTTATAGAAGATATCTGTAAGGAATAAGGAATTAATATTTTACAGCACTGTAACATCACTAATTGAGCTACTGACTGGTTCTTCTGTTTGTTGTTCTCCATCACAGGATGAAAAAGAAGAGTTGGAAATACTATCCATTTGTTTTATAATGTGAACTTGATAACTTGAAAAATCAGAGACATGTCAACTTTCATTTTGGTATGTGAATGCATCTAGGCGTTAGAAAGATTACAAGAGACAGCTGCCACCATGTGTAAACCTTGTTAGCTGGTTAACATGAAAAATCAAAACCATGCCAACTTCCATTTTTGGTGTGTGGCTGCATCTAGGTGTAAAAAATGTCATTTAAAAAAAAAAATCAGGTTGCTACATCAAAATCCAAGATGTTCACCACAAACACACACACGCAAATTATATACAGTAGTCCCTCAATACTTCGTGGTTCGACTTTCGTGGACTCGCTCTTTAGATGTTTTTCAAAATAAGATTGGACATGACACACAATTGGCTGATTGATGGATGAGTTGCACGATTGGTCTGGATTTTTTCATTTAAATAAATTATTTTTATTGAGCACCTGATGTATCTGTGTGCAGGCCACAGGTGCGGGGAGAAGCTCCCATCTATAGCATGTCAGGATGTCCGTTCTGGAGTTTCGGCTACAAATAACCTTGGCATATATATGTATGTATATATATATCATAAAGTACATACATATACAGTACATTTGGTGGCTCTTGGGGTGGTTGAAGATTAATCAGTGGTGGTCATGGCCTCATGGCCACCTTTGGCCACTCCCTGGCTCCACCACTGCACCTGGTGGTGGTTAAAATTGCTCCTTCCACTCTCCAGGATTCATCACTCTATACCCGCTCCAACAAGCAAAAGGTAAATTAAAAGCCTTCCTCTGTTCTTCTTGACATTGTAATCCCTCCTCACTGGAATAACTTTCATCAAAAACATTAAGGTTCTTTGGTACATTCTCTGTTCAATTCCAGTCCAGAAGAACAAATACAAACATTCAGTGTTCAAATCTCTTAGTGATGGGGGATGATAGGACTATTGCTTGTTTAGATTTTTACATTTGTTAATATGACAAGCTTTAGATTTTTTTTCATCCCGTCAACGTCTGCATTATTTTCTGCATTCAACATCAAATGTGATGAGAAATTAAATTCAGGATTTATGACCATTAAAAACCCGTTCTTTCATCTGTTCACAGTTATGTACCTGCACGATTTTGTCCAGAATCCTCTTGTCTGCTTCATTTTTTCCATAGCAGAGGAAACTATGTGTGTAGACAGTGTAGTGGTAACCATACAGTTTGACCTTCAGGTAGTCCAGCCCATTCCCACTCTCCTCAACCTGAAAGGCAATCTGTGTTGACGCTCCACCAAGGTCCATGGAGCCAACAGTCTTTGACCCATGTGGGTGCACATAATTGTTCCACAGGTTTTTCTATAAACAGAAACAAGATTAGTAATTTAAAATTAAATATCAGTGGTACTGGTTCTGGTAATGAAGCTGCAGTGTTTTTGTATTTTCTCTGATCATGACAGTGCCCAACCTCCAGGAAGTTTCCCATCAAGTAGTTGACTGTGATCCACCCATACATCCCTTCTTCCTGTCCAGTGATGATGGAAGCGTTCTGGAAATTGAAGGGCAGTGAGCTCAGGTATTCTCTCAGACTCTCCATGATTTCATTGGATTTCTGTTCATCTCTCTGACTTAAAAAAACAGAGAAGAGCAAGATGGTTCGAAATGGATTTAAAAACAATGGCATCCTACGATAAAACTTTGACCCAAGGTAAGGTACAGTAGGCTGTAAAAAAACATAGACACTCCTGTTACAGTTAGCACTGCTAACCATTCTAATCACAGAAAGCATTAATTAAAGAAATATTCTGCTAGAACTTAATAAATTAATTTTGCTGAAAAATGTAAGGTGGGGAAGCACAGGGTTCCCAACAACACACATGGGCAACATAAGGCCACACGAGGCCCTTGGGCAATCTCTATGTCTCCCAGTATCTTTAATTTAAAAGAAAACTGTTTGAAAGATAAGTTGATGGAAATCTGCTTTTAAAAAGAAACATCTTGGACAATATAGACCCAAACTTTTTTTCTTTTTTTTTTGCACGGTGTCATTGTTTGTGTTTTTCTAACTAACCCGAACCTTAAAGACTGCAAAAAGCAAACAAACATTTTTTCTTTTCTTTTTTTTTGTTGTTGTTTGTTTTTTGATTTTTTTTTTTGCATATTTTAAAATAACAAATAAATTGTCACAAGAGACGATTTACAGAAAGTCTGTCTTATATTCCCAAAGCTTATTGGGGAGGCATATGCTTACCAAGCATATAACTAAAAGCCTGGAAATGTCTTCCAGATTATCTATCATGAGGAAAATGTATTTTCTAATTCACTCTGCAGTCCTCTGATTGCTTTAAACAACTCGGTTTTTTTCATGATCCATGTCTTTGGTGTTTTTGTTTGGCATTTCTGTGATTCTGGTATTTTGTATTACTTGTGTTTCCAACTTCCCCGGTGTTTTTCCTTATTGTCTCTCCCCAAGTGTTGTCATTTCTCCCTCATTAGTTTCCTTTTAAAGCTTGTCTCCTTTTCCTCATATGTGTCTGTGCATTGTGCCTTTCACTCTGACCATGTTTGCTTTCCATTCGAGCTCTTCTAGTGTTCTTTTTGTGAGTATTTTTACTGCCTAGTCAGCCTTTTCGTTTTCGCTTATTTAATAAATTCGTTTATTTCTTTTTACTAGTCCTTCCTCAGTTTTTGGTTCTACACTTGGGGTTCACCATTTTCAACCAAAATTATAAATTTGGCCCTCTGGGAAAAAAAAAAAAAAAAAAGTTGCCCACCCCTGCTCTACAGCCTCATTCACATCTTGTGGATGTGCCTTCTGGAGATCTACAATCTAATTTATTGCTCAGCATTCATGAAGACCCACAGCCACCACACACAGGTGGCGGTCAATGAGCAACAAACAGTAAGAAAAAAGGTCTGCTGATGCTCTATAACAGACAGCAGAAATAAAGGAGCTTAAAATAATTTGAAACTAGATCTTTTTGTAAGAGCAGCAACTAAAGATTTAAGCCCATTGGACCTAAAAATCCCACAGTAAAGGGGTGAGTTGCTATTTTTGACCCTTGTCTGTGAGAAGAGAAGGAATTGGAAATATCTCTGACCATCCATCCATCTGTGCATGTTGTGAGTGTGATACATTGAAAAATAAGTGAAGTGCAAACTTCCATTTTGGTGTGTGGCTGCATCTAGGCATAAGGAAGGTTCCTTTCAAAAACTGGGTTGGCACACCAAAATCCAAGATATATGTATATATGTAAACCAATCACCCTGATCATTTGAGGAAACTGTTTTCTAGTTTTTATATTTCTTGAAAATATAGTTTCCAAATGATTGGGGTGGCTCTTGTGGTGGCGAAAGATTAATTTATGGGGATCAAGGCCACCATTGGCCACCCCCTGGCTCCATGATTCCACCTGTGGCAGATAAAATTGTTCCCTCCACTCCACACCACTCTACTCCACTGTACTCCATATCTGTCACACTGCACCACCTCAGACAATAAAAATCTCCCTCTGTTCTTCAGTGTAACTCCTACAGTATCTTGCACCAAAAATATTAAGGTTTGCTTGAATTTCCTGCTCAGTTCCAGTCTAGAAAAACACTCATCTTGAAAATTACAAACATTTAAGCTACTATTAAAATCCCTCAGCAATGGGGAACATTGGCATACCTCTTGTCTATTTAGTTTCTTTGTGAATTTAAAGTCAGTGCTGTGTTTGGTTAAAATATAATATGTCAATGCTATTCAGGTCATTGTCTTCAGAGGAATCCTAAAGATGGCTGATGGTTCTCTTAAATCAGTCAACATCTGTGTCCAATATTTTTTTATAAACTCAAGAGACATCGAAGATTTTACTCTGCTTGTGTGGAGTCATGATCCTTCTGTGTAGCTCTGGGTGGGTTGGAATGGATAAAACCAAAAATCCAACACAGGTAACAGACAAATTCCTAAGAAAGTGTACAGGAGACATAGTCATATGAATATAAATATGGATGGAAAATTTTCTAGTGAAAGTTCAATGGTCATCGTCTCATCTGATCTGCGGCCACATGTCTTGGACACTCGGGTGAAGAGATGGGCAGTGCTGTCCACTGATCACTACCTGGTGGTGAGTTGGCTCCGATGGTGGGGGAGGATGCCGGTCAGACCTGGCAGGACCAAACGTATTGTGAGGGTTTGCTGGGAACGTCTGGCAGAGTCTCCTGTAAGATGGAGCTTTAACTCCCACCTCCGGGAGAACTTCGAACATGTTCCAGGAGAGGTAGGGGACATTGAGTCTGAGTGGGCCATGTTCCGTGCCTCTATTGTCGAGGTGGCTTACCGGAGCTGCGGCCGCAAGGTTGTCCATGCCTGTCGCGGCGGCAACCTTCAAACCCGGTGGTGGACACCGGCAGTGAGGGATGTTTGACATTTCTTTTCAAAAAAAAAAAAACAGTGCAGATCTACGGCTGACTTGAGCACAGGACTGTAAGGAAATTATCATTTAACTAATGAATATAAAACAACTTTTTTGTGCACATAACGCTCTACATCTTAAAAATCTCAGTATAAGCAGAAATCTAAATAAGCCATCAGAATCAGAAGGGAATAAATAAAGAAAAACGTAAAGCCTTCTTACTGTAGCAGTCTCATTCCAGCTGTGGCTCCCAGAAACAGAGGTGTTGTTCTGTACTTCTCAGCAGGAATTATTCCTTTAATTTTATTTATACAACTTTCAAATCCTTTCCATGTTTCTGCATCTAACTGAGGATTAACCTTCATCCCTGAGATGGCTATGCCTGTAGAGACAAAACTGTGCTGAGAGCACATCCTTTTACAGAGAAGTAGTATTTTTCTTGCATAATTGATTAGTTTGAATTGTCTTACCGTGTTACAGAACAACTCACCTTCTACTTTACAGTTGATTGTTTCTGTCACCACTCCTGTCTCGTTCTCCTTCTCCCCAGGCCAATCATACAGGAACACATTGGAACGGGACGAACCAGAGTCAATCACTATCCCATACTGTTCAAAAGAATGAGTAGGAAAACTTTTACGAAGTTACATCAAACTGCAGAGGAGCTGCTGTGATACCCAACATACTGGAACAGAGAGTTACTGTTATTCACTGAGTGCATCTCATATGATGTGTAATTTTTTTATTACTCCATGGCATTAAATGGTAGGCTCTGAATTATTGTTGAACCTTGGATTCAGGAGCAGTGTGCAGTCCTGGTCATGGAACAGTGAACCAGACATTCACCCTTGCTGGTTTGATAAGGGGGTCCTGGGAGCTAGTTTCTTCAGTCTACATGTGTTGTTGGCCTGGAGAAGGCTTATAACCTTGTCCCCTGAGGCATTTTGTGATGTGGTGCTGCAGGAATGGGGTGCCAGTGGTGTTATAAAGGCTACCTGGTACCTGTATAATGAAAGCAGGAACTGTGTTCACATTCTTGACACAAAGTCGAGATCAATCTGAGTGTGGGTTGGACTCCTCCAGGGCTGTCCCTTGTCCTCAATCCAATTTTGGTCTTCATGGACAGGATATCAAGGTGCAGTCATGGAGAGGAAGGTGTCTGGATTGAGAGTCTCAAGGTCTCATCTCTGTTTTATGAAGATAATGTAGAGTCTTCAGGCCAAGATCTTCAGTATGCACTGGGGCGGTTCGCTGCCGAGTGTGAAGCAGATCTGAGAGTCAATTCCTCTTAAGCCGCTTTTCTGTTTATAAGTGCAACTCCACTGGGCTCTCATTTGATCGGTTCTTCTCAGGTGGAGGTAATTTGCCACTGTGACGTGTTTCTCTGCTCTGTGGGTGGGATTGTCAATGCAAAGTGGGAGGTATTGTAACAGGTCATTGTGTTTGAGCCACTCAGCCTGTAGTGGTCCTTAATCGCCTTATAATCAGACTTTAATTTCTTTAGCTTATCTTGACACTGCTTATAAGTCCAGGTGTAGCCATTCTGCACCGTCATCTTCGATATCTCTCAGTAAATGTGTTAATTTCTTGATGGCACCATCCATCAACATGATAAAGAAGGAGTGGTCCAGATGTAGTTTGCAGTTTTGCTAAGGGGTCATTCAGTGACGTAGCGCTGCTGGTCAATCAACAGCTGCTGTCTGCTTACATCAAAATCAGTGCCTCTGAGCAGTTTACTTGAAACCATGAACAAGGTGGTCCCATAAACTGGGCTGAGTGGGGGGTGGTTACTGGCAGTGGAAAGGCCCTTATGGCAAAGTGCCATAAGTCTGTGGCCATATGGTTCTTGATCAGAAGCAGATTGCTCCCTTTGGTTCAGAGGGAGACTTTGCCTCAGATGTGGGAGTTTTAGTGTCTAGGTTTCTTGTTCCCGAGTGATTGTAGGATGGAATGGGAGATGGATAAATGGATTGAGGACTCATCCTAAGTAATGAGGGTGTTGCTTCAGTCAGTCATGGTGAAGAGAGAGCGGAGTTGAAAGGCAAAGCTCTGGATTTACTGGTCTGTCTACATTTCAACTCTTGCCTGTGGTCATGAGGTTTGCATCATGATCCAAATCCAATATCAAACCAATATCAAAATCCCAGATAAAAGCGGACAAAATACACTTTCTTTGTATGGTGGCTGGACTCAAACCTCTGTCATCCAGGGGAGCTCACTGCTCCTTCATATGTAAAGGATTCAGTTGAGGTGAGGTGATTCATCTGATCAGGGTTAGGGCACATTTAAATGGTAACTGACCCTGGGGCAGATCCAGAATGCTCTGGGGAGATTGTGTATCTTTTCTGGTCTTGAAACACCTCAGGGTCCCCCAGGAGGAGCTGAAATATGTTGTTGGGGAGAGGGATGTCTGGGTTTCTCTCCTGGACCTGTTGACTCTGCGACCCGACTACAGATAGGAGGCAGAAGATGGAGATGGGGATAAAATGTGGTGTCTAACTGCAACATCATCAGTTTAATGCCCAAAAAACTTTATCTACAGATTTTTATCCTTCATACAAACCATAAAAACAACTGGAACAAGTGGCCCAATGAGCCTCATCAAGAACAAGCCTCTGAACATACGTTCCCATTCTTCCTCCAGCTCCTTGTGTAAAGATTTTCTCTGTCCTTTAACATTTCCTTTTACCACTTTGACATGTACAACAGACTCACTTGTGAACTTTATTAAATATTTATGACTTGTTTCCTATTAATGAGCAGACCTTTGAAAGATATCAACCACTGTCCGTGAGTTTACAGCAGGTTGGAGATCAAATGTTCATTTGTTTGTTTTATTACACCTTTCCTTGGTTAAAAATCGAGAGTTACATCTAAAATGCACAGCATGCATCATCACACACGCATCCACAGAGCTCTGTGCTCATGTCTGTGTGTTCACCTCTAAGCCGTACTCCTGACTCTTCAATGTGTTCTGGATGACGGCAACCGTAACGAGGGCGGCAATCCCAGCCAGCAGGAGAAACACAACCCCTGCTACGCGACACTTGTAGCCCACTTTCTTTTTTAAAGCCATTTTCTGCTGGAGAAACAGAGTTAAAGCATATTTTAACAGTAACTGTGACATGCGAGTTTGACTAAATAACATGAAGTAAATGGATTAAACAAATGATCTGTGATCTTCTGGACTGGAAGCCTGTCCTGTGTTCAAAGGAACTTTTCTTGTGATCTGCATTGTGTTTCTGCATTGGTTCAACGTTGTGTTTTTTTCACCTCAAGGCCACTGGAGATTCAGCTTCTTTAATGTGCAGAAATGAAGACCAGGGGTGTGATTTTAAATATAACTGAATAAGTCAGTAAACAATTTGCTGCATTCTTTAGGGGTGAGAATCAAAGTTGTAGTTTGTCTTCAAACCCTGAATGAGTTTCAACTTGATCTCAATTACACTATAAGATCACTCAGTTTGCAACACAACATTAACTGGTTAGAAGTTATTTAAAGACAGCTGGGTTTGGTGCTGGAATTTGACACAGCAACACTTTTACCATTGTGCTGGACTAAAATACTAATCTGCTGCTTTAGGTCCTCACTTATGACTTGTGATACCTTTTTGTTTCAATTTAAACCATGAAAACATCCCAAATGTTGATAATGACCATGTGTCTGGATCCACTTTAGCTGAGTTGTTTATTCTCAGAGCCAGAAAGCATTGCTTCAGTCCAGATCAGTCAGGTTTTCAGAAACAGAACATGTTTGGAAGGTTGAAAAATGTAAATATACAAACTCGTTCCTGGACCTGAAACCTCATAAACAATTCTTTCCCTCTCTGCAAAAACCATCATCTAATCATGCTGTAAAAAGTCAAAACTTATGATGCTACAAAAAGTTTTTCACAGAATATATGATAAACTACTTTTTCCAATCAACTGGAAAATATCAAATTAATTTTAACTTGTTTATAAATGTTTCCCTTTACATGTTTTGTCTTAATTTAGATTTGAAATGTAAAAAAAAAAATACTAACAGAGTTGTTACAAAATGTCATTCATCTTTAAGCGCTTTGTCAGAACTCGAGGAACCCAGATAGTATGAAAACCAGTGAGCGAGACAAGACTCCACACGTAGAAAAGTTAAGTGTTTATTTTCACAGATTGATATTAAAATGTGCAATGATGATCCACTGGATTCCTGAGGGGCAAGGATATAAATCAGAGAGGTTCCACTTAGAGGCTGAGGATTTTAAATAGGTATTTCTTATCTTACAGGCTGAGAGGAGGTCCAGGTCTTGGATTCGATTCCACAAGGTTCCAGGAAGAGACGCAGGTTTTGGCAGGCCAGTGGATGGAGGGCAATGAACAAAAGGAGGTGCTGGGGTCCAAGAAGGTCAGCACACAGAGGCACTTGAAGGCACAGGTAAGCTAGGGCACAAGAAACAAGAGATATTCGTAATCACTTTCACAAGGACACTAAAGGGGCAGAAGCAATAACTTCCATGAATCACTAGTCAATGCTCCAGCGGGTAAGAGAGCTCGTCTGCAGCCTTAAGTAGTGGAGGATCCTCACCGACAGGATGTCCTGCAGGTGTGGATGATTTGGGTACGGGCTGCAGAAGTGTTGTACTCTCACACCTTTACTTAGCAACAAAAAACAAACTATAACTTTAAAGGTGTTTATCTATTTATAACATATTTTATCTTTAGTTTTTGGACTTTACGGACCATAAAGCCTTCTCTGTTTCACCTTTAAATTAAGCTCAGTTTTTTGCAACATATATAAGTGAGCAGAGACAGAACAAGTTTCTAAAATTACAAAACACAACATTTCAAACACTCCTTCACCTTGTCCACACTAACGCACTAAATTATTTAAAATATATATTTTCTCCTGTGCTTCCACCTCCTATACACACAAATTGAGCTGCTTATTGTTGTTTGTTTGTTTGTAAACTGATAGATATTTCAAAAACTGCTTTCCGTTTTGTGCACTCTATCTCCTGCTGCCCCAGTGTTGATTCTTCTGGAGGGAAAACCTTCTCAGAGACAAAATCAGAGTCTGCTGCGGAATAAACTGATTCGAAACAAAACCAGCAAACTCTGGAGAAAGTTGTCCCAGTCATTAAAAAGACATCAACACAACAGCAAGACTGTTTTCAAAAGATGAAGTGTTCCAACGTTTCAAAGCTAATGTCACTAATCTCTGATTAAACATGTCTGACTTTGTTTTTGGGTGGCACGGTGGCTCAGTTAGTAGAGCTGTTGCCTCTTGCTGAGAAGGTTGCTACATCAAATCCTCACCCAAGACCTTTCTGGGTGGAATTTGCATGTTCTCTCCGTGCATGTGTGGATTTTCTCCGGGTACTCCAGTTTCCTCCCACAGACCAAAAACATGCATGTTAGGCTGATTGGTGACTCTAAATTGTCTCTAGGAGTGAGTGAGAGTGTGAATGGTTGTTTGTCTCGTTTGTCTCTATGTGTCCCTGTGATGGACTGGAGACCTGTCCAGGGTGTCCCCCACCTCTCGCACAGTGACTGCTGGACTTGGGCACCAGTGACCCCCGCGACCCAAAGAGGAAACAGCATGTAAAGAGGATGGATGGATGGTTGGATGAATGGATGGATGACTTTGTTTTTAAGTCATTTTACTTTGATTTTTGTCATTTTAAAAAACTAATTATTAAAGTTATATATATATATA